TTTAATAGAAACTATGTACAATAAATTTTTACTGTATTTTACATAAGATAGCCACCGCAGAAATTTACATAGATTGGAAGGAAGGTAGATTGGTTAAGGAGGGCCCAGTCCTGTGGGATATTTTCTCAGAGCATGAAAGTCAGAGTTCAGTTGGGGAAAAGGTTCAGACTGCCAGATTAGGTGGATGGTAAGAAAAGCTAAAATGCAAGCCTTTGGGTACATAACCAGACGCTGGGACCACCAATATTCAAAAGCACCATTCTTAAACACAGGCCCCATCTAGTTATCTATGTGGATTCTTGCCTGTGACTTAGGAAACACCATTCCAAAGATGTTTTTCCCAGTAGGCAAAGTCTCAAACATTCATTCAATCCCGGAGATAGGGATGACCTCTCCTTGCCCACAGCAGGAAGAAACCCACAGCTTTTGGACACTACTGACCCATTCTCCCCAGATTTAGCTTTTATTTGACTGTAGCACTCTCTAACCCAGAAGGAAAACAAGGCAGAGTTGCCCCGTTTAAGTTAAGAGATGATCAGAGACACTTGTTTGAAGAACAGGAAATTCAAATCCACCAAATCAAATAGTTCCTAGAACTGTCAACTGATAGAAGTGGGTTCTGGTTTCCCATTTGCAGTAGCCAATCCACTTTGAGGCAATGGCACACAGACTTTCTCAGAATTTCGAGATCCCTGGGATCTGCACCCATCTCCAGCCATCTGCACCTGGCCCTGTGAAAAGAAGTAGGTACACTTTGGTGAGAAATTCATTGTGGTCTGAAGCATGAATCTGACTTACCAATGCCTATCTACGGTAGCAACAAGAACAAGATGACAGAAGTAAAGTAACTCTGGACAGTTGTTCTTCCCCATACTTAGCTATCCTATGACTTCGAGTCAGAAGTCATTACTGATAGCATCCCTGAGGCTCTCCCAATGGGAGAAAGAAGTGTGAGTTGTTTCTTCCAAATGAAATAGTCATTCTCCACTGAGGTTCCAGAGCAGCCAACAGACCATAAGAAGACATTCCTGTAGGCCTCTGCTTGAAACCAACAGCTATAGCATAAACTGCTGGTCTTCAGTCAGGGCCATCAGTATCCCACCTGTCACATTACTGGTTTTTAATCTACAATGAGAACAACTCTAGTGAAGAACTCTTAAATGGTACAATTTACCTAGAGTCCTCATCTCAGTCTTTCATTTCAACAAGTATGTCCTATGCTAATATGAGGAACAGAGGACATGAGGTATCGTGAGGCCCATCTGGAGAACTATAGAAAGATATCCACCCTGCCCCACCACCCCTGCAGTGGTAGGAAATGAACCAGGACTCACACTTTACTAAGCATGCACTCTACCACCGAGCTACCCCCAGCTTGAAAGGGGCATTTTAAAAAAAAATACTTTTCTTATACAGAACTGTGTGAGTGAAAGCCAGCTCAGGTATCTTTATATTCTACTAGTGGTGACACCCCCAACTCCCCAGAGTACATGCTAGCCAGCAGGAAGCCCTCTGCCTGGCCAAGTCACTATATGAAGGAAGCCTAGATGGGGTTACTCTTCACTTGCCAATATATCCACTGAGCCTTCAGCAATTTCTCTGATTGAATGATCTTCAAGGGTTAGTGAAGGATCAAAAAGCAAGGGTGAAGGAGGACACTGCATACCATCACCCACAACATCCAAGTCCTACAAAAGAAAGAAAATACAAAGGGAATAATTAAGTAAAGCTGGCATATTTTTCAGCAAACCTCACAGCAATTCTCAGGTCTCTCCTTTACTCTCTGCCTACCAGAACGCTCAAAAATGAAACAAAAATCCAAAAGCACCAAGAATCTTTCCTTGCCACCGACCATAAAGCGAGATCAGCTGGGTGTGGTGACTCACACCTGTAAACCCAGCACTCAGGAGGCTAAGGGGGGGAAGATCATGAATTCAAGTCCAGCCTAAAATAATTAGCAAGACCCTCTCTCAAAAAAAATTCTTTTAGTAAAAGGTGAAAGATTTATACGATCTGAAGAGAAACCAGAGTACCCAAAACCAGAGAAGGGCCCAACCCAAAAAGAAAACAACAGGCCAATCTCCCTAATGAAGACAGACACAAAAATCCTCAGTAAGAGGGCCGGGGATGTAGCTCAGTGGTTTCAGCGCCTGCTGTGCAAGTGCAAGGACCCAAGTTCGATCCCCGGTACCAAAAAAAATTAAATTAAATTAAAAAAAAAAAAGAAAGAAAATTACAGTACTCTGAAAAAGGTGATCGAAGAGAATATCAGAAAATGGAAAGATATCTCCTGTTCTCAGGTAGGAAGAACCAATATAGTGAAAATGGCCATACTTCCAAAATTATTATACAGATTTAATGCTATCTCAATCAAAATATCATTAGCATACCTCACAGAACGAGATAAAACATTTCTAAAATTCATTTGCAAGCAGAAGAGACCTAGAATGACAAAAGCAATTCTGTGCAACAAAAGTAAGGCAGGGAGCATCACAATCCTTGACTGAAATTATACGACAAAGCTACCATGAAAAAAACAGCATGCTACTGGCAAAAAAATCACATCCAAAGATCAATGAAACAGATTAGAAGATGCAGAAACAACTCCAAACACACTCAACCACCTTATCTTTGACAAAGGGCTAAACATGTTCACTGGAAGAAAGCCTCTTGAATAAATGGTGCTGGAAAAACTGGCTCTCACATGTCAAAGACTAAAACTAGACCCATGTCTCTCACCATTCACTAAGCAAAATCAAAATGGATCAAAGATCTAAATAACAAAACAGAAACACTGAATCTGCTAGAAGATAAAATAGGTAGAATCCTTGAGGGCATAGGTGCCAGACTTCATGAACAAAACCCAGATCTCCCAATCACATGGGAAATACTACAAAGAATCAACAACTGAGATCTCATCTTTTAAAAAGCTTTTGCACAGCAAAAGAAATCACCAACAGAATGAAAACACAACCCGCAATGTGGGAAAAAGTTTTAGCCAGCTGTTCCTCAAAGGACTAATATCTAGAACCTAAAAAAAATTGAAAAAAGCAAGACACCGACCCCCAAAATTTAAAGACCCAATCCAAAAATGAGCATCTGAGATGAACACACTTCTCAGATAAAGAAGTACAAACCAGGGCTAGGGATTTAGCCCAGCAGCATAGCACCTGCCTAGCAAGCTCAAGGTCCTGAGTTTGAGCTCCAGTAGCCCCCAAAAAAAGAAAGAAGTACAAACGGCAAATAAATATATGAAAAAATGTTCAATATCACTGGTCATTCAAGAGATGCAAATTAAAACAATGCTGAGATTCTATCTCACTCCTGAAAGCATGGCTGTTATCAAGAAATCAACCAACAACAAATGCTGGTGGGACTGTGAAGAATAAGGAACGCTTCTCCAAATAAATAGTGTGAAATAGGAAGAAACTTCATAATAATACCAAGTGTTAGACACTTTAATAATTAAAATGTTTTATGCAAAAAAAAGTATAGTTTTCTTAGGAGATGAGTTGAGAGATAAATAAGCAATTGAAAATATATTCTTTTAAGGTCATGATTTTTAAAAATTAGTCTAAAATTATAAGATGAGGATTGCCACAAGTTCAAGACCCACCTGGGCTACATAGTGAGCTACATAGCAAGACCCTGTCTCAAAATATAATTATCAGATTACAAAAACAATCTGTTTTGCTCTTATCTCAAAATCCATACACACAAATGTAATAAGATTAGGATACTATGCTACTTTCCAGTCATCTTTGTATCAAAGCACAAAACGTATCATATGCAGAATGAAAAGTTGTATTTTTACGCATCATTATTATCTGATACCTCAGGGCTGCGGATTTAGCTCAGTGATGCCACTGCCTGCCTCGCAAGTGCAAGTTCGATCCCCGGTACCAAAAAAAAAAAATCTGATACCTGGTCTTCCCACAAATTATCACAAGTTATTACTAACAAATTATAAAAATTATAACAAAAATAAAATGTACATGATGCATTAAGACTGCTTTATGAAATTCAAGTCCTTCATAAAGTTGTTTTTCGGAGCCGGGGATTTAGCTCAGTGGCACCGAACCTGCCTCCCAAGCGCAAGTCCTGAGTTCAATCCCCAGTCGGGGGGATGAGGGGGGATACATAAAGTTGTTTTTCCAGTAAAATTTTATAATATATCCAGAATTTAAGGGAAAGAAAAACATTAAATTTTAAAACTGGCCAGGCATGGTTGTATATACCTGCAATGTCAGCACTCTGGGAGGCTGACAGGCTGATCTCAAGTTTTCAGCCCAGCCTGAGCAACTTATGAAGAATTGTCTCAGAACCCACAATGTGGGAAAAATATCTTCACCTGCTCTTCCTCAGACAAAGGTCTACTATCTCAAATCTATAAAGAACTTAAAAAGATCAGACCTC